AAATGTTTCCTTTTCAGGGGAAAAAAAGTAAGATGACTAATAAAATGTTCTAAGCAACTGATAAAACTCATTGTAGTGTCTGGTGAACATAACTGCTCTCACCAAGCCTCTTGTTCACATTCACAGTGTTCCAGTTTGACCCAAGCTCCACCAAACTGATGAATTCTTGGTGCAGACTAAAACACCAATCCTCAGTTTTTCTTTACCTCTTCCAAAAAGAACAGGTAAATAGAGGGATTATAAATGAGTAGTTGAACCTGAACTCTGGACATTTGTGAAGGTCAATAACTATACAAGGTGAATGCTTATATATATTGGGATATAAATGCATAAATATTATGGACTAATAAAAGTAATTAAAATCACAGATTCTCTTTAAAAGATATCTTTGCATCTGAATGAATTATCAATAGCTACTACTTATAAGCAGGGAAAGAAGAAAACTTCTTATACATTTCTGTGGGATAGTTTGCAATCACTGGAGACTCTGAGGTTTTGGGACTTGTTTTCAGATAGAAACTCAGAAACAAATGTATGTCATACACCTTGAATTGCTGTGCTCTTTAAAGAGATTCTGCCTCGTGATGCCTTTATGGCTTCTATATTATTATTTTTATGTTCATCAAAGAGGCCAGTTGGTTGGAGCAGAAGGAAAAAGAAGGACATATGGTAAATGGAGGCAGAGATGGTAGGTGGGGGAACATTAGGTAAGACGTTAGATGCCATTACAGGAGTACTAAACTAAGTAATGACATGTTCTTTTATTAGTCAGATTTCTTTATGTGGTAGAGAGAAAGAGATTCAAGAGCAAAAAAAGAAGGAAGCCAATCAATAATCTGACCAGAATCCAGATTAGAAATAAAATGATTATGACCTGATTTGAATGGTTTTATGAATCTGAACAAAGAACAACTGAAGACAGGAGTATAACTTTTTTTTCAAAAAAGTTTTGATTTCAAGGGAAATAAAGGAATAAGCCAATAACTTCAAAGGCAATCATTAGAATAGTTAGGAGAGACATATTTTGTTATTTTAAATTTTTTTGATAGCGTCTCCCTAGTCCCAGCATGCCTGGAAATCACTGTGTTGATCAGGCTGGCCTTGATTTCACAGAGACTTTTTGCATGTAGATAATTCTTGTCTTGTAAAATAAGTCCTCTAACCAATATTTACATAAGTTTCTTTAGGTAATAACCTGTTAGTTTACTTAGTCTTTAGTGATAGTTTAGTGGGGTATCAAGCTAAAATTGTAATTAATGGTTATTTCTCTTTCACTTTAAAGGTTTTCATTTATATTTAGGCACCTCTTGCTTCTAAAGAAGAATCTACCCTGTCTATTTGAGCTCCTTAATAATAAGCTATTTCCTTCTTATTTAATATACTTTTAAAGATTTTTTTCTATATCATAATGCCTTCTAGTAGATTTTCTTTTTTAATTGTACTCTTCAATGATTAATATTGACTTTAATTTGTAGTCTTGATCTCTTTTTTAACTTTGAAAAATTATCATTTATATACTTCTCTGTTTCTTGTAATTTAATTAGATCCTCTCTTTCTGGAATGCCTATCAGATGTACATTGGAGTTATCAATATGTGCTCTATTAGTCATAACTTCTCATCCAAATATTTCATTGATACTGTCCTATTTTTAAAGACTAAAATAAACCTACTGTTGAAGTGTTTGGCACAAAGGGAGAAGTTCAAAGTATAAGCCTTCTGCCACGTTGGCTAGAAATTCTGGCATTGGCTATATTGTAAAGTCATTTTTAAGGTTAACACATCTTATCAGGCAGGTAGTCTTGAAAATCAAGTGAACGATAAAAGCCTAAAGGTATGCTGGTATCAGCCTGTCAAAAATCCAGCTAATTAAAATGTTCTCTTCCATTTTCTCTTCTGGTATTTCTTCATCTCTAGAAAATAATAATGTGTTTCTTAAGAGAAAACACATAAAGAAGCAGAAAGAAAAAGATGGGAGTTTCCATTTAAAAAAGGACTTCAACAAAAAGTGGCAAGAGATAGTTTTAGATATTTCAAAATAAACATTTTGAAGAATATTCCGCCTCACTGATTCTTAAATAGCTACAAATTAAAACAATGACAGATCATTTTACTCACTAAATTATTAATGGACAGAAGAAAAGAAAAACTGCAACTGTAACTGTGAAATTGAAGTGCATGGCCAGTCTGATGTGAACTAAATTAGGGCAGAGTGGTAGCTATGAAAAAGTCTCACCAATTCTGCCATTTTTTGCAGCAACATTGCTTTTAAGAAGCAACTGGTAGACAGTAAATGGAAATACAGTTAAAATCCCAGCCTTCAGCATCCCAGGGATGTTTACTGTGGCCCTTTTTAAATAATATTGCAAAGCTGGAAACAGTCTATATCATTGTACCTACTCACTTTTTTGATTGTCAGATTGTAATAAAAAAAAATGGTGTCTGCATAGACATACACAAGCATCCAAGATTTCACAAGAAGAAACTCATAATTCTGATCCATTTAAGAAAAAAAAATACTGGAGTTGACCCCTGGATTGATTTCACAGTCTCAAACCAGGTTGTGATTCACAGTAGAAAAAGCCCTGGCCTAAATGGCCAGTAATAGCTATCATGAAATATTAATTAATACAGTCTCTTAAATTTTATATGCCTGGGGGTTTTTTGTTTTGTTTTGTTTTGTTTTGTTTTTTTGTTTTGTTTTTTGAGGTATGACTGGAGAGATATTATATTACCCTTCTTCATCCAGTGAGGAAGAAAATGCTTCTAGGTAACTGCATATAAAGATTTTTCTGTAAGATACAGATCTCACCCCATCCCAGAGTCTATATGGATATCTGGATATCTCATGGATGTGGTTGTTCTTAAGCCCCTCCCCTCCTTTCTCCCTTGCAACTTCTGCAAGAAGACAGGCTCTTCCAAGGTTACCCAACATCTGATTTCAAACACTTCTTAATAATCAGCTTGTAGTATTAGAAATTCATGCTCAGCATAATCAGATAATATCAACAAAGTTAGGTTGATTTCACTTGAATTAACAAAGAGTTGCTAAGGGCATTTTCTAGAAAAGAATGACAATATATTTGGCAAGTACTTAGGAGATTCTTATGTAAATGGAGGAAAAAATTTAAAAAAAGATGCCACAGATTGTTGTATTCACCCTATGAATAAGGAAAATCTCCTTTTAAATGTTATTCAGAGGGTTGTCATTTGTAGTAACTGAGTTTCTTGTGTGGTGTGGTGGGGATGGGGGGTGGAAACTGTGAACATGCATTGGAGGGACCCTGACAGGGTGTTAGGAAAGCATTACTCAAATCTAAATAAGAATAGTGGCTAGGACTCAGATGATTCCAGTAGGAAAGACAGAGAATGGAATGGACTCCAAAGTTACTGGAGAGGGAACATGAACAGATGGAACAGGAAGAGGAGGTAGACGAGATGTCTAAATAACTCCTTGATGTCTGATATCTGCAATTCTGTACTGTAAACTCTGGATAGAGGTGTTTATGGATGCCTGAGTTTTCTTTTAGAAATGTGCTTTAGAGGTCTATACCACACAGTCAGTGTCTATACATCCAACATATGACTTCAAAACAAATTAACCACAATGAAGAATCATTGAAAGTCTTAAGTCTAGTCATTGTTAACTATTCAAATGAATCTCATTTGAGGATGTTTTATCCTCAAGGGGTTTGAATGCATCCCATGTCACCAAATAGTTCATTCTATACACACTTCAGAAAGCTAGCTAAGTTAGCTGGTATTGTAACCAGTAGAAACTTCTGTCAATTCTGTCCACAGTCATCGATCACAAATGTCATATAGACAGGACTATTGACCACACATGAAATGCTTATCTCACAGTCTTATATGTAGAGTTATTCAGTTCACACTTGATGGGAATCATGATTGCTTTAACCACATGAGTAGCTTGGAGAACTGCAGCATAATTCCAGACCCGTGAAGTCATCCTTATGCTTTTTGCATTGCTCATGTAGGTAATTCACTAAAGATTTAGCATTTTGTACTTCTCTTGGCTTGTGATCTTTTTTTCTTGGAGAACTCTATCATAAGGTAATTAATAACCAATGAACAAGCAAAGCATGCAGAGCACACCTGTAATCACAGCACTTCAACGCCTCGAGGCTGAGGCAAGAGGGTTGAGAGGTCACGGTCAGCCTGGGTTCTACATTGCAAAACTTTTTCTCAAGAAAACCTAACCTGCCCTCTCAACAAAGAGGAAAAAGAAACAAAAACACATTAAGTTATACTCTTGCTCAAACGACCAAAATATTCTTGGATGGTTAGAAACTTAGGGGGATTGACATGAAAGAACAAAACAATACGTAGAATACAGTGAGGGTTTTCTTGTCAAACACTGGTACATAGTAAATGGTTAAATGTGGGCCTGGCAAGTTGGTGCAGTGGTTAAGAACACAGGTTGTTTTGCAGAAGACCTGCGTTCAATTCCCAGCACCTACATGGCAGTTAACAACTGTCCCTGTAACTCCAGTTTCAGGGGATCCAACAGCCTCTTCTGTCCTCTGTGGGCATTGTACAACATGGGTACACTTAACTACATGCACACAATACATGCATACATATAAAATAAAAATAATAAAATATTTTTAAAAAATAAGTAAACGGTTAAATGTTTACCATAAAATTAAACATGCTAAGATTTTCAGTGCACAGTAACATTTTAAAATTACTCATTCACTTACTCTTTTATTTTAAAAAAAACACCCAATGTTCTGCACTCTGAGTACTTGGGATAGTTGAGTATCATGGTATCAGTGGACACAATGCACTTTCGCTTTGTTCTTGCCCTTCTCAGAGGAGTCACAGTAACAGATTCAAATTACCCAATCACTGTGTTCTCCCTCCCTAGATGAAAGGCATGTACTCCACTGAGTTCTAATGCTCAGCTCTCTTCTCAGGAATAATAAGGCTCGGGAGATTCTAACTCAGGTTGACCTTCACTTCAGCTGGAAACCTCCAAAGAAGTACTGGGCAAAGGGCAGTGGTTCATTAAATGAGGCAACGGTCAGGTGCAATTCGATCTGCACTTCTGGTACCAGGTGTGTGAGAGACAGTGGGAGGGACAGCAAGACAGAGAATTATTAATTTGGGGGGATTTTTCAAAGATATATAAATCAAAGCAACAGCTCCTAGACGTTAGAGGAAGATAGACCAAGCCATGACCAAGAATTCTATCTTCAACCCTAATTTCTCCACCAGATTTTAACCAAATCTTCGTGATATATGACTGAATAGAGAAGAAAATTTAAAAGATTCTTGATAGATATCCTGGAAGAGGCTATATGAAAATCCAGCCTTTATTTCAGAAACACCTGCAAGACTATTGGTTAGTACTCTCTTATTGTTAACTTTGAGTAACTGTTCTGAGAGTCAGGTCCCCTTTACCCCCTCCATTTTCTGCTGCTCCGCCCTCTTTGATCTCTTTTTTAGCTAGATTTCTCTTTATTCTTCCCTCTAAGTCTCCAAGGAGATCTTTTCCCAGTGCTTTTTCTGCAGCCTTTGATTGCTTTCCTCATGTTTTGATCTTCACTGAAATATTATTTAGCCTTCTAAAGTCTACTCACTGAAGGAAGGGCTAGTTTTCTGAATATTAATCCATTTGTGTAGCCAGTACAGTTTGAGAAATTTGATTGAGATTAAACCATGCATTCTGGGGACATTTGAGGGTTTTAATTCTGCTCAGTGTTTTACATGTCTGTGTTGAATTTACATTGAGAAAAGCATCTAAAAAAATCCTGACCCCAAGATTGCATGCTTGATGTATACCGTCTTTCACATTTTCTAAAGCCTGAGGGATGGTCAGCACTTTGAAGACAAGGAAAACTGAGACTTTGCCCTTTTGTGAGTTTAGCCATAGATCTTCACTGATTAACTCTGATGCTTTAGGTTCTTCCTGTATGCTTGATCAAAATCATCCTTCTGTACCTGCTGTTATGGAAAACATCACTTTCCTGTCTCCCTCTGAAACATGCAGATGAACTTTCAACAGAGACATAATCTCACCATCCTAAACACCTGTTTGAAAATATTAACTGGGGGTCTCTTCACTCTATCAATAATTTAAAACTGGTTGTGTGCACTGTGCTAGAGAGTAGAGAGAAGAGAGAGTCACCAACTCTTCAGAGATGTCTGTCAAGGCCATTTTGGAGGTAGAGAAGAAAAGCACCTGACTTTACCTGATAAAAGGTAGATATTGCTGCTAAGATGCCTCTCTAAATTGAAAAGACCTTGGCTGATGATTGGGGGAAGGAACATGCGGATGAAGTCAGAAGAGGAAGGAGGCAGAGGGCCTACAGATATGGAGAGGTCTTTGTGGACAGAGAAAGCTTAGGAAAATAGCAAAGAAAGGGAATGGAGTGATAGACAGGCTAGATCAGAGCACACAGTGTGGGATGTACCTTTCTGAAAGTTTACTGTTGATGCCATTGGGCTTGAAACATAGGCTACTGACCTGCTACATAAGAAAATCACTTTTTTTAAAATCAATATGGAGAATAGAGTTTTACAAGGTTCATCCAGATGTAAAGGCTGGCTGTAGACTAACTCGTTTCTTAGATTCTTCAAGATCTTTTTGTCTACTTTGAAGAAAGTGGCAAGGAGAACTTGGTCCCCCACTGAGGGATGGTACAAAAGTGGCAAGCCAGTTGAGGCAGCCCAGAGGAAAATCATTCTATACCCACACTTGTGACTGGCTTATCCCAAATGCTAATACGTATGATGGCAAATGTGAATTTGAAATCAGTGTGTCTGATTGTTCCTTGAAGGGCTTCTTGAAAACAAAATGATGGTTAATATAAACACTGAATATAGCATAAACATTAAAGTAGTCCATTAGAATAGGCACAGGAGACCTGGGGGCTGCGCCCAACTGGGCTGTAGCTACCTGCAGAATCTTCTATAATTTATTTCACACTTCCTGACTTTGCTTACCCCACCTACAGAAAGAGACTGCTAGCTTAAAATAGCACTTGGGGTCCCCTTATGTTGTGGTTGCCTGATAGGCTGAGCCCCTCCTCTAACTCCCAAATACATCTCTGTTCTCCTTTACCAAACAAACTTCTCCTAGCTAACCAGAACCTACAGCTAGATAAAGATCTGGGTACTCTTAGAGGAAGAGCTTCTAGTGCCTCTGGCCTGTTTTTGCCTATTGACAGCATCTAGCACCATATATAAGACATACCTGTTCACCCAGCAAGTGCTTCAAGATATACTAGTGGTTAAGAATTGAGTAAGGATGATGACAAATGCAACAAGAGCAGGTTTTGAGCCACGAAAGTTACAGACAGCCATATGGGCACTTGGAGCCCATCTATTCCGCACAAGGGCCCCTTGTCTTATGGCTTTGATTTTTGTGGTACATATTAGAGCTTAAAACTTGGTATAGGCATAAAAGAGTGAGTGGTTAGGTCTTGGTGGTAGCATAGGCAGTTTTATGAGAGTAATGATGCTTGAATGTGATTTTGAGGGGTGATTTTTCTGACAGCAACCTGGTAATCAAAGGAAGGCAGACCATGAAGGAGGTTGTTGAAAGCCCAGTAAAGAAAAGTAGCGGTGAACTAAGATGAAGGCAGGGAAGACACTGTTCCAGCAGAAACCCTAACTGAATCACCATGGTGGTAACATGAATGTGAGAACCAATGAAGGAACTCATGGTTATCTCAGGTAACTGGGTGAACTCTGAGCTCATTAGGCAAGATAGGAAATAAAAGAGATGAATCTACTTGTTCATTCAAGGGGGGTTTGAGCCAGGTGTTAGTTGTTTGCTTATTTTAGTGAACTCAGAAAATAAGATAAGAATCAGAAGATGGCTTCATGACGCTAGAGTTGAAGTAAAGGGAACTGAGTGACATAAGGTATGAGAGATAGCTGCACCTGTCTTTGTATTGGGACAATCTTGTTTGTAGGTCAAAGTGCTCTCATTTCAGCAAGTTTCAGGAGATAACTCCTGTTTATATAGGAGCCATTTTAGATGTCTTTAAGCATGCAGGTATACTATTTTCCAGTGTCTGAAACACCTCGTTTTGGCTTTGGGTTTTTAGCATTAGATATTCATGTTGTGTAAACAGCTCCCTGAAGATTTGTTACAGAGTTCCTTCTTGGTTTGAAAATAATTTTTTTAACTAGTAACTTGATCACAAGTGGTTGAAATGTTAAGTGTAAAAAAGTCATTCAGATTACTTCAATTTGAAGGGAAGATGAATGTTTTATCTCTCTTGTATAAGTTGTGGAATCACAAATTTATTCAATAATATTTCAACAACAAAAAAGTATTTTAAGTGTATGTTCCTTTGACTTCCTGGTAGATGCACAGTGTATGAATAGCAGTGGTTCAGAATTTGGCTTTAACGTGCCTCTATCAAACATCTGATTTAGGAGAAACACAGCCAGGTCATTTAATTACAGTTTCCTGAGATGCACTGTGGTGGGCCCCTCAAAGAGTAAACATTAATGTTCTGGGAATTAAATGTTTAATTCAAAGGACTAAAAACAAGGTCTCCTGAGCCAAGATTTGTAAGGACATGCTACAAAGATAGATTGAACATATATACAGGCTCCAAGAGCTTGTCTTACCTCTGCCTTATCCAGTACTAGGTTTCAATCTTGGTTCTGATTTACCTTCCTATTGATATATCCAATTTTTAATTCTCTAGTTTAGCATGGGATTCAGATGACAACCAAGGACAGCAAAATCATGAAGACAGCATTCTCATTTTCCTCTGGATAATCTCATGTGAATTTGTGTGTTCAAAAAATGAATTGTATCAGTTGTCCCAGAGGTAATCATAATCTTGGACCTGATTTATATTAGCCAAAATTAAGAGATGAAGCCAGTGAACTGTAATACAATCCTTTCCATTTAATTCTCCTTTGTATTGTGAACCTATATTTCATCTGATTACTGTGCTAGTTTTAAGTGTTCTCCAAAAATAAGATAAGAATCAGAAGATGACTTCATGATGCTAGAGTTGAAATAGAGGGAACTGAGTGGCATAAGGTATGAGAGATAGCTGCACCTGTCTCTGTACTGGGACATTCTTGTTTACAGGTCAAAGTACTCTTATCTCAGGTGTTTCAGAAGACTGTTATTTACTACCTACTTTATTTTGGCATCCCTATCAACCATCAGTATTTGATTGTATTACATTATTGTCAAAGTCCTTTCTGGATCCAAATTTCTACATACTGCTAAAAAGCCTCTCTCCCTCCATGTGAACATGTTTTAATAGAGACTGAGTTATTATCTTTCTTATTTATAAGGTCAGCCTAACGCTCAATTAGGAACATTTAGAGACTGTCAATTTTCAATTTCTTACAGAACAAATTACCATATATTTAGTGACTTAAACAACACCCACTTTTTATCTCACAGATCTGTAGGTGAGAAATCTAGGCCTGGTGTGGTCCTCCAGGTTCTCTGCCCAGAGTTCCCAGGCTGCAGTCTAGGTATCCTAAGGGTGGCATTATCTTCTGGAACTGAACGCATTCAAGTTATTGGCTAAGTTCAGTTCCTTGCTGCTGTAGGATGATGTTCCCCATTTCCTTGTTGGGGATCAGCCAGGGGCCAGTTTTTGCTCTTACAGGCTATAGTTCATGTTCTTCCTCCATCAAGGGCAAATCAGGTCCCTCTCAAATTCCTAAATGACTTTCCCTTCTTCCCCACTGCAATAACTGCCTTCCTTTATGTTTTTATAGGCACCTGTAACTACATTGGTCTACCTAGATAATCCAGGATAATCTCCTTATTTTAAAATCTGCTGATTAGTCATCATAGTTATATCATGGAGTCCCTAAATAAGCAGTACCTAAATCAGCCAGCATTTGATTGGATAGCTGGGAAATCATGGAAGAATCTCTTAGTTTCCTTCATCAGCAACACTTTGAAATAAGATCAGTGTCTGAGTGATCCTACCTGTGGCTGGCTAATTTCATCTTTACATGTGTATTTTTTATTTTGCCATTTCATAGGAAAATAATTTGAGATATCAGTTTCATATTTACTATTTCAACTATTTGACATAGATTGTTGTCTTTTGAAAAAGTCTGTTTATGAACTGAGCATGATGGCTAACCCTTAGGAGGCAGAGGCATGACCATGACTTCCAGGACAGCTCTGTCTGGCTACATAGAAAATTCTAGGATAGCCTGGGCTACATGAAACCATGTCTCTGAAAACCAAAACAGAAAGAGAGAGAGAGAGGAAAGAAAGAAAGAAAGAAAGAAAGAAAGAAAGAAAGAAAGAAAGAAAGAAAGAAAGAAAGAAAGAAAGAAAATAGATTAAAGCTGAGACAGGAGGATTAGGTAATTCAAGGCCAGCTTGTCTGCCAG